TGAAGGAAATTTGCCCAAGGTACACGTACTTCCCTTATAGTTTCTGTTACTATTAAATGAACGTTTAGATAATCTTTATAAATATACGGATATCATATGCGATCAAAAATCGATTTATATTCTAACCGTAAAAGAAATGTATATTAGATTTGTACTTAATTTTAAGATTCGAATGCAAACCCTGTCTTGCGACAGGCAGATGTTCGTTGCTGACATGATAAAACTGCTTCTTTTGTGTCTTTGATATTAAAGAAAACAGCATTCACGTCGAGCTATCTATCTACTCTTTTTATATGAGGACGGTGAAGTATTATTTCTTTGATCTTTTCAGTCACATTCCTTTTATATGGGGAGGAACGGGTCTATTGAAAACCCAGGGATGGTTATAAAAAATGTTTCTATCTGCAGATAGATGGCAGCTATCTATAGATAACTTGTTATTTTTGAAAAATAGAATAAAATAAGGAAAATGTACCAAATTATAATGCGTATGAACTGTGTGTGTTCAATGAAGAAATTAATGCAAATTTATGGTTTTAAAATAAAACTAATGAATGATATTAAACTATCTTTATTATTCAAAATAGGCTCCATTAATGTATCTGTAAAATTTAAATTTTCTATTCCTCTGAATAGAACGTTGAATCTTTATTATTAACTTCTTCTTCTTCTTCCACGGCACTACAACTCATGAAGAGTCTTGGCCTCCTCAAGACGTGTCCTCCAGGTGTCTCTATCCTGCGCGGCTGCTTTCCAGTTATGTACACCAAGTAGTGCATGTAACTGGAAGCCCTTGCCACACAATCCTGCCATCGCAGCCGTGGTCTTCCTACTTTCCTAGAGCCTTTTTAGTTTTTTTTTTTTGGGATTTCATCATTTTGCATCCTCGCCACATGCCCTGCTCATCGCAGTCTTGCAAGCTTTACGGTTCTTATGATATCCGGCTCATTGAATAGATTGTAAAGCTCTGTGTTATGTCTAATCCTCCAATTCTGTTCCTTTCGCACAGGACCATAGATTCTGCGGAACACCTTTCGCTCAAATAACGCTAGGGCTCGCTCGTCTCCTTGCATCATGGTGCAGGCTTACATCAGTACCGGACGAATGAACGTTTTATAAAGCTTTATCTTTGTGCTGCGAGAGATGAGTTTAGTTTTGAAATGATTACTTAGTCAAAAATAGCACTTGTTTGCCGCTACTGATCTCTAGGTTCCTCATTATTATCTATTAGTAGAAAAAGGCCTTTTTAGTCTTGATAAAATGTAACTTTATTTTAAATTTATCCAAATTTTCCTCTCTTCTTCAGGGATAATGTGATTTTACATGTAATTCAAATTCTCATTCGCTTTACAGCAGTGCACCCACTTGAACACTTAGTCAAAGAATAAAACTATCCCAAACTTAATAGTCTCTTTCCCAAGATCATCTTTTAGTATTAACTATGTATTTTCTAACAGATTAGATCAATAAAACTTTAACCTTTTAAAAGTTTTCCAGATGTTTATAAAAATGGTATTCGGTAAGTGATAGTTCATGTTGGGCAGGCGGATTTTGTTTCTGTTTCGGCAAATAAAATTTTTTGTTGGTATTTTTTTATTTCATTTACGTTCTAGGATATGGAAAAGCTGGGTATCTCCTTAAGGACGACGGGCGTTAGATACATTAATAGTCCTCAAAGGCTCTTATATGAAGCACAGGCGGATTTACAGGGGGGAGGGCTTTCGGGTTGAAGCACCCTCAAAAAATGGTGTAAAAAATTATGGTTTTATGGTAAAAAATTACCTCATTAAGTATTATTGTTCGTGTAATTACATTTAATAGAAGTTCAAAAATCACTTTTTTTTTTTTTCTTCTTCCCTACCTCGCCTTTTAGGCTATACGGGATTTTCCTGGGCCGGAGGGTTAGGACGGGGAATTTGAAATCCCCTCCGGCACCGGGATACGAACTCATACTTTTTAATCTTCTCAAATCTCTTATCCGGTTGCCAGGCAACTCGCGGTACAGTGCACACGCTTTAGCCCATTCGGCCACCCCGCCCCCGCACCATTTCATATATGTAGCTAGTATCTTTTTTTTTTTTTTCCAAATTAGTTATCGTTACTTGTAAATAAAAAAAATAACATTGGGGCTGAAGTCCTTCCCCCTTCAAAATGAAATCCTTGATTCGCTGGTGATATCAGGTACAGCACATTGTTCAAGCTACTTTTCCGTTCACGTCTTTACTTATTTAATAATCTTTTCACTGAGTTGTTTTTCCCTACGATTTATGTTTGGATATTATAATAGATATTTACTGTTAGTAAATATTATTTTGTTGAAATCCGCATTATTTTCATTTTATGGAACCGGTATGTCGTGATTTATATAGGATATGTGAAACCTATGTAGCTTGTTTTACAAACTGTACTTGTAATTATGTTTTATAAATTATGATGTATCTTTACAAATTTTATTTTGACGAACGTTTATGAAGGTATGCACTATTTTTTATATTACTTTTTTATTACAAGTTTATGAACGATTACACTATTCATGATGGTGGAATAGAATAGAATAGAAAAATAACTTTATTCTGGAACACAGTCTTATATAGCCTTGAGAATAAAAAAATAGAACAAAATTAAAATATTACATCTGGCCAAAATAAAATCAATCGAAAAAAAGAAATAATGTAAAAAAAAATATAAGGTAAAAATTCTATATACAAAACAAACTAAACTATATACAAAACCATTAATACTATGACAAGACACTTAAAGCTCTTTGCACTTATAGACCAGTATACACTTTTAAGAAAATAATAAAGAATTAAAAAATAAAAATGTATCAAATTCTCTATTGAAATCAGCTCGAATGGTTAGCAACTATCTGACTGTTTTTGGGATAGGAATTGGAATAGGAGGGTTTTGAATGTGGATATGGATGGGGAATGTCGAATTTTGATAGGGAGGGAATTCCAGAAATTGACACAGCGACTAATAAAGGAATTTTGGAATGAGGCAGATCTGTGAGAAGGCATGTAAAGGTTAGAAGGTCGAGATCTTGTGGACAGGGAATGGACTGAGGATTTGAACTGGAGAAGGTTGTAGGCGTAAGAAGGACGATGGTTGTTGATGATTTGGTAGAGGAACCTACCTAGGAAATATTGTCTTCGGAAGGAGGGGAAAAGCAACTTTAACTCACAAATCTTACGCAGCTGTTCATTAGTCTTTTCAGTCTATCACGGAGCTCCACAGAGAGGCCATCATAAACCACACAGCTATAGTCAAAGTGGAGAAAAATGAGAGAGGAAACTAGGAGTCTACGCGTATGTTGAGGTAGGAGATGGCGGAAGCGATGGAATAGTTTGAGGGTGGAAATTGTCCGCCGAGAGATATGAGAAATATGGTGATTCCAAAAGAGGTTTTGATCAATGAAAAATCCTAAATTCTTAACAGAGGAGTAGAAGGAGATTGGCTGATCATTAAGGTGAAGGATGGGAAAGTCTGTCTAGGATCTAAGGAGGGGCTTGGAACCAATGACGATGGCCTGAGTTTTGGCAGCATTTAACCTTAATCCATTTACATTTGCCCAGGCACTGATTCGATCTAGGTCTTCTTGGATCTTGGCAAATGCCCCCAGTAACTCAGGAGGAAATACTAACTCTGGTATAGATACTTATGTATTTTATTTAAAATAATGTATGTTTGTAAATTGTTCAATATTTATTTGTGTTATGTTTACTGTTGTGATATTTAATGCGCTGGACGGCATATTACTTTAAATATAATAACTTTAATATATATTTGTTTTATGGGTCTTGAATTTCGATGTTAAAGATTTATTGTTAACATGTTGAAGATAAGCCAAAGATAATGAGCCTAATAAAATTAAAATCTAAGTTTGGATTCAACTCTTCATATATACAAAGAGTTGTATGAACTATTAAATAAATTGATATTATGGAATTTAGATGTGTTGCTTTTCTTAGGATGAGGAAAGTCGTATTGAATAAACTGAAGCCAACTATCTTTTGAAACCGGTGTACTTTTATAAATAAGAAAATAAACTCTTCGTAAATAGCTCAAAGTTTTAGTCTTAGTTTTTCAGTTTTCTGTTAGCTTAAAATATTTCTTGAACCAATGTGTACCTTAAGCGTTCATTCATAAAAATAGATCAAACGAAAAAAAAGTCGTGTATACCTGTCATTACAGAAGAAACCTAATGAAATTGAATAAAAATTCTTCTCTAGCTCAAGAATAATATTCTTTAATAGTTGTTATTGTGACCTAGTTGTACTTAGTGACAACTGGTAATGGCGAGTAAACAAGATGGGTTTGTTAATTGGGTACCCTTTAATGTTATTTATTTGTTGAATTGAGGCTCGTTAAGTGCACGTTTTTGTTGTTTATTTTCAAGACCTTGTTAGTGTTCTTCTTTCGCCATGAAGGAGGGACTTATTATCGTTGAAGATCCGTTCTCATTAGAACGATAACGTAGTTTTTGATATAACACTATAAAACCTACGGTCTTTTTTCACACATCGAGATTTCCTGTTTTATTTATTTATTTTCTCTATTATCACATTGGACTTATTTCGCTATTATTGGGGAGAGGGGATAGCTCTAATTTCAATAAACCTCACCCTTCGCTTAGAATTATTTCTCCATCTAACAAGATTTCACTTTTAGTTTCTTATTCCTCTCTAATGCTGGACGTTACTACTGTATTTCTTTTTAATTTCATCTCGCTCTTTCTAGTTTTGTTTGATTTTAGATGTATTGATTTATTATAATCAACTTGAAACATTTTTATCAACAAAAAATAAAAATTTATATCTTACATGTCTAGCTACTTAGAGTCTAAAGAATCAAATAAAAAACAAAATACGTTCTTCTGTCGGCCGCGACCATACCATTTATATTTGGCGCCCAAACCATCGGATATTCAAGGATCCTTGAAAGTCGGCCACCAAGCATCTTGTTTCAAAATTTATCTGTAAATAAATCAAAATACATACCTGAAGAGGTGTGTTTGGCTCTTGGGGTGCTCTCTCGTGAGGAGGATAGAGCTGGGCAAGGCACATGACCGCCTCGTTGCAGAACTTGAGACCCATCACCTCCTCATCCTCCCTGCCATAGCGGAACGTCAGTGTTACCTGACCGAATATCTGCAACAAATCAAGGTCATCAACATTACTCGTAAATTTGAAAATAATTAATAAATCTCTAGATAGATAGGTAAAAACCAACTTAATTCTTGGACATGTTGTCTTAAGAATTATTAAAAATAAACATAAAAAAAAATATTGATAAAAATTGAAAATATATACGGTATCTTTAGTAAATATACATAGGCCGAATTTCAGGATTAGGTTGCACACAGAAATATATATAAAACAAAACTCATGTGTTCTTAATGTATATATATATATATATATACATATATGGGGCTGGGATAGCCGTGCGAGGTTAGCACTTGCATGGGTGACCGTCTACCAGGGAAAGCCACGCTGCCCGAGATCCTTTCCCCGAGTATGTGAGAACTGTCTCCCAACTGGAGGCAACCCACACCGACCGGGCGTAGGAGTAATGGCCCTTTCCCCCTTGTACTTCTTAAATCAGGAATCGGTGTGTGATCTAGGAGACCGTGTCTCGCGGTCTAAGATCTTCATGGTCTGTAGCGCCAACCGAAAAAAAAAAATATATATATATATATATATATATATATATATATTTATATAAATTATTATTTATTCTTTAATGCGACTTAAAGAATGACCATCGATGGCCACTATATGCTATTTATTTTTACTTGGTGATCATCTATTAGAGGAATTTATTTAATATTTACTGTTTTTTTCCTATCTTGTTTATCTTGTTTTATTTTTTTTTAGATTACTTGTTTATTGATAAATATTACAATCTGTCTCAATTAAGGACACTTACAATAGAGTTCAGAGAGCGCAGTATTCTTATTATTACTTTCTTAGCTGAGCAGGGGTTATTATATGTTTCATTCTTATTTGCATGTTATATAGTTAAAATATTTTTTATATAGTTTCTTTAATTTTTTTTTTTTTAGTATATTTTCTTATTTAAATACTTCTGGCCAGATGTATTTCTTTTGTTCTGTAACTTTCTGTTATTCTTAGGAACTCCCGTCCCTATTTATATATAAAAATAGAAAATTAATTTTATTTTGCCGTGAATAATGCAAATAGGTTAACTAAAAGTTTGCAAAATATAAGTTTTAGCTTTGAATCAATTATGTAATTATAAAAATGGCTGCGATTTAAGATGAATGAAATTTGGACAGGTCATGGCGCGATGCAACAAGTGGTTCGTTCGTAGACATAGCTTGATAGTGTCACTTTTATTCCAGCCTCTCTTGGACAAATTTACAGCAAGCCTTTTAAAGTATGAGTCTTTTATTTTCAATGTAAATTCTTATCAATATTGACTAATTTTCAGGAAGCACCAACATTATTATTTGCCATTGCTATTGTGATTGTGATTTAAAAAATAAGATTTAAATAAAAATAAATTAAGGTTTTTTTTCAGTGTAGGACTTCAGTGGAAGGCTTTATTCCAACAAAAAAAAAAAAGAAGAAAAAAGAATCCTTTATTTGTATCACACATTTCAGAAAATCATTGATGAACGTAAATAGGGTAGCTATTAGGAAATAAGATTCGTTATGCATATTTAGATAAGATATCGATTCTTACTCCGATTTTCAAAAAAAATCTATTTGGCTTCATTTTGGAAATAAACAACTCCATGGGTTAGTTATTAAAATTTATTTAATTACCTATTTTTTATATTTACAATACAAGTCATATAACATTTATAGAATAAATTAAATGACTAAAAACCCTTTTTTGGCACTATGTCTACTAGAAGTAAGACCATTTTTTAATTTATAATGGAATAAACAATTTGCAGACCACCCATAGATCCGTAGCCAATTTTTTTTAGAGCGATCTGGCCCATATCAGTGCCATTCGCACCGATTGGCTCGAGTTCAAGGGCAATGATAAATCTGTCTATATCCATGGATTATGGCCGCTCAGAGTTAGGAGACGCACGAGAAACAGTCTGTACATGGTAAACGGGGTAAGGTCTCATCAATCCCCCGGTAGATGTAAATTTTAGGCCGCCATATTAGTAGGCTGATGGATCTCATATACGGTAGAAGAAGAATTAATTTTTCTTCTCTTTTATTATTAATTGCCTGTGGAATCTCGGGACGAGGATTTGAACCCACCCACAGCGTTTGGGTTTGTAGGCATTAATCCGCCTACATACATAATATATACTTCATTGTTTACTGTACAATAAGTAAACCCTAAGAACTACCCTGTAACTCATTCGAAAGATATTGTGACTAGCAATTTTTATGGTTCACCTGATAAGTTTTAATAATTACTTTAGACATTATAATGATAATAGAGAGTTTACAGCTCCCTTTGTTGTGTAAATAGCCTGATTCCACAATGGGCCAGGTCAGTGATCTCGGCACTTACCTAACTAATGCATCTTAATTTCCATCGCTGGATCTTTTCCAACTCCTAACGGAAAATTTCTCGTGCCATACGAGCCGTGCCCAAGCTCTTGGAACGGATGAGAAAACGATATATATGTAAATATCGCCTGTTGTTATTCTAAACCCCGTTGCTGGTCTGAGTTCCCTATATGGCCAATTTTCTAGTATTCATTTACGAAACTACCTCAGTAATTTTACAATAAGTCCCGTAGTATGGTTATAATTATTGTAAATAGTACGATGATTGATTTAACTGAAAAAAGACAAGATGACCAAAATTATAAAAACGCTATTGTGATAGGATATGATAACGTATCCTTTTACAATACTTTTGTAATAATCTTAGTTATTATCTTGTCTTTTCTCAGCCATGATGAAGGCTTTCAACTTAAGCCGAAACTTCGGCACAAAATTAATTAAAAGTCTTTTATTTTTATTTGTGTGCCCTGTCCGACTGCATTACCCAACCAACATTTCCAGCCACATTCTACAGTATACAGTCAACAATATAATATTTATAGAATAAATTAAATTACTAAAAACTCTTTTTTGGCACTATGTCCACTAGAAATAAGATAATTTTTTAATTTATTATGTAATAAACAATTTGCAGACCACCCATAGCTCCATAGCCAATTTTTTTTATAGCCATCTGGCCCATATCAGTGCCATTCGCACTGATTGACTCGAGTTCAAGGGCAATGACAAATATGTCTATATCCATTGGTTATTGCTGCTTAGTCAGCAGACGCACGAGAAAGAGCCTATACATGGACTAAGACTCTAAGGATCTATAACATCTTGGAAAACCTCATCGCGATTTCCGATTAAATTAAACGGGGTAAGTCTCATCAAACGTCCGGTCGGTGTAAATTTTAGGCCGAAATAGTAGTAGGCTGATGGGTCTCATATTCTGGGAGGAGAAGAATTTCTTCTATTTTATTATTAAATGCCTGTGGATCTCGAGACGAGGATTTGAACCCACCTACAGCCTTTGGGTTTGTAGGTGTTAATCCGCCTACATACATTATATGTATATATATATATATATATATATATATATATATATATATATATATATATATATATATATATATATATACACTTCATTGTTTATTGTATAATAAATAAACCCCAGTAACTACACCGTAACTCATTCGAAGGATAGTCTGACTAGTAAGATAGTCTGACTTTAGTTTTGGCCAGATTTGTATTTTATTTTGTTTTGATTTATCTTTGTTATTATAAGGGGACTTAGTCCCAGAATAAAGTTCTATTTTCTAAAAAAAAAAAAAAATTTCTTCATCATTATTTCAATTTTAATTTTTCAACTTTTAAGTAGAAATATAATGTAAGTACCTGTTAAGATGTTATAGAAAGATTTCTTTTAAATTGAAAGTTTCATTAACTTTAACATCAGGGCCGAAAAAAATATGGTCACCAAAAAAGGAGTAGAGCTATAACTCACGCGAAAAAAATATACAGTATCGTTTGTTTTATCAAAAGCGAACTCTATTGAGGGTTTGTACCTTTGTGGTATGGAAACCATGATTGGTGATAAATTTAGGGACAGCATCCCGCTTATCATCATTGACGCGGGACTATTCGTTATCTAGTCTGTTTGGATACCCTTTCGATAACCTCTCGTCGTCAGTTTCTATCTTCAGTATAGTCCAATGGGTTGATATCTACCATAGTTAGGATACTGATCAATCTACCCGTACGATATTTGTGATATATTCCATTGGGAAATTTATGATTATTGTATATACTATATTATTATAAATTCAATCGGTTTTTTATATTGTATTGTTTAATATTGTCCTCAGTATGAATTCATTAAATTTGAGTAGTATACATTTAGACTTTTTATATCCTTTATTTATTTATTGCACGTTCTTGTATTTTTCTTTGGTAATCTTTTTCTTAATATTGCTAAATTATTTGTTTTGTGATATATTATTTTTAATGGATCAAATTTGAATGTATGCCTTGTTTGTCAAAAATGTGCGGTAAGAGTACTTTTTCAGGTTTATTGATGTTTTATTTTTATGTTATAACACTGATAAATTATTTCTATACTCAAATGTAGTCTTTAAAATCCCTATTCAAATTTAATAGTTTTCGACTGCTCCAACACCTACGAGATAAACGCTATAAACTTTCAATTAATTACAAAAGACTCATCTACTTAACCATAATAAGACCTGTATGGACATACGGAGTTGAACTTTGGGTTTCTACCAAACCATCGAATTCCTATCGTATCCAATCTTTACAATCCGAAATCCTTCGTAAAATTCTTCATAAAGACCTTAATGTTCCATATGCCGCTGATTTAGCCCGAGCCAGATACCTATCTTTTCATGATAAACTCCAGTCCCATTCGAATCCACTTTTTTTCAGCCTTTCTTCTTCCTCGATTCCTGATAATCTCCCTAGGCGTCTGGAAAGAAGTTGGCCACGTGATCATCTCACCTAGAATTAAATAGGGAGTGCTACCACTGGGCAGTATCTCTTCAAGTCTGTTCATGTCTTTATTTCCAATATGTGCATTTGTACTGGTTGTATTGTTTAAATACAGTTGTAAATTTCATTAAACAAATAAAATTAAAAAAAAAATG